TATATATATATAACAAGTTGTATTCCTATTGTAGGCCTATAACCATAATCACCGTTATTATATACTTTTTTATATTAGGSGTTATTTATTTATTATGCAACACAGTCGATTTATATTGGACAAAAAACAATCCATAAGCATATTGTCGTATATCGTACTCTGAACTATATAGATAACTATATAGAATTAGATATGATAAAAATGATGTATGTGTATGTGTTTTTTTAAGACTAGACAAATATTGTATTTAGGTATCAAATTGCAATGCCAGAGGTAGTAACAAAATTCAAATTCCCTGTTAAATTCTCTACGCGGGAGAAGTTAGATTTTTAAGATACCAATTCTGTTAAATTCGGAATTATTGAAACTTAACTGATCTGAGCTTGTTCACTTTGATTGAAAGAAAAATGAAAAAATTACATCAATCCAAGATCGTCAAAAAAACAAGAGTTTCCTTGTACTGTAAAATTGTATAGTACATTAAAATATATATTAATGTATTTTTGTTATAAGTATTATAAGTAAATATCTCAAAATTAGAAAGCACACCTCCTCACGGCGAAACGGATGCAACGTCGGCCAATCGGGGATCAGCTCAGCTAGGGATGGTCTACGTGATGTTGGCGCCTGTATTGCATTACACATACATATACACACATGTTTATTTATAGTGGAAAGATCAGATATGGAACAAACAAATTTATTCTTATGGCTTCAGTAGTTTTCGCACACATATTTTACCACTGCTAAATTTAAACTTTGAATCATTTGGAGAAACATATAAAGTGGAAAAATGTATTATAATTGCATATACATATTTCTCCATTTGAGTTAAACTACATTTTTTCTTTGTTTTTGTTCTTGATGTGTTAGCTGCGGTAATAAAGTGATCTCTTTTCAGAAAGTGAAGCTTCTGAATTTTTTAAACTGACAGATGTTCATAAATAACCTAATAACATAAATAACATTGTTGCGATATAGAAATATAAATGAGATTTCTAATTTCCATATATAAGGGAAAGAAAGATTCGTGAGCTGGCAAGATGGTCGGTCTAAAGTTAAAGCAGATAACAGCCAATCATTAGATTTTACTGCTCAGCTCATTTTTTATTTTTTTAGTTTACTATCATTGTATAGAGAGCTCGATCAGTAAGTATTTAAGCAAATGATAGTAAGCCGGAAACAATCTGCTTCTTACCCTTTCGACTTTCTTTAAAGCCGGCAATGGTTTTTCAGTTTCTTTAAGATCGCCCCAATTGGGGTCTTGTTCTTCTTTGTCCCATTTTTGATAACGACGTTTTTTTAACATAGCACGGAAATCCATGCCGCTGGAATCGGAAACATATAGCTGCATTTCGGCCGAGTCCTCGCCGTGTATATTCGATACAACAACCTTATATTTGCCTTCATCATTGGGCTTGCACTTTCGCATGCACAATGTGATTGAATTTGATTGTCCATCTGTGAGGAACTTGTAACGACCACCTTCAAGAATCTCACTGACTCCTTTGTAGAATTTGAAAGTCGGTGCAGGGTTGCCCTCAATGGTAACTGTAAGGTAGGCCGTCGAGTCTACAAATATGGGTAAAAGGTACACAAAACAAAAGAAGTAGATTTACATAATTAATGTTTACATGATTTATGGTATCTGTACGGTAGGCCGTCAACACATATTGGTATTTAGAACACAGAAGTACGTACACACATGACCCAACTTCATAATATTAAATAAAACTTCTCAAGTCAGAAGTATTCTTGGGGATATGCTGTACCATGGACAGAAACGCTGTTTCACAACCTGTGTACTAATTGAAATAAATTATTTCATTATCATAATGAGAATTTCATTACACAAAGCTGTACATAAACTATAGTGCCTGCAGCTCTTATTGGTGCACTTCGAATCAATTGAACCAGATATAGAATTTAAATAATATTTTACTCAGAATTTGAAACCAAATTATTTTTTTGAAGCTTTGAAGATAGATAAAGCTACACTTAAAGATACAGGTATATACACGTAAAAGTGTTATATCATATGTTTATCATATACGTACCATGCCTTCAAATAATTCAATAATCTTTTTTTTGGTCTGAAGTATACATACAGTTGTTTGTTTGATTGGGTACACATACCTTCAACCACTGAGTAGGACTCCTGAACATCTGTAATGGATGGTGGCCCACCATCGCCAACATCGCGCAATGGAGTAGATGGCTTATTAATAAGATCTTCCAAGTCCTGTACACTAGGTCTACGCACATCAATTGAGGGACGCCTCCGCTTTTATGGTAAATTATACGATGGTTATGGGGGCGATCAACAAGTAGGTTGACAAAATACGACAAAAAATATAAACAGAGAAAAATATACATAGTTAACACATACTGCTTTTGTTATCCACATGATCTGTTTTTTGTAAGTACATTTGCAGATTCAAGTCGTAAACATTGTGTGTTATGCACTCGTCTAAAATACAGATTATATACAAAGTCAAATTTTCAAAACTCATACTTAGGAAAAGGATAAAAGATTTTAAATGATGCCAACTACTGAACTAAACATAAACATCATATTAAATAGTATGGCGGATCATTAAATAATAAATACTATATAAGAGACACATTAAAATGGCTGTGATAAGATGAATATGGGGAAACTAAAAACAACTACAAATACAATAAATATTAATGGTGAATATAAATGAAAGTTAGTAGAACTGTGAATATACTTCGTTAATTACTGATATATATATTTTTATCAATTATGGTTTTTAATTACAATTCTTTTGGGTTGCATCTACATAACTGTAGGTAACTAAGTTTACTTCTTTATTCTTATTCCACTCATTTTTTTATTTATTTGCTTTTTAAAGGCAGATTCTCGAAAATGGAATCTTTTTTGTCTGTATTATTTACATTTGAAAGGTTGAACTTCGCGTCATTCGTCACGAAATTGAAATATGTACACTATACAGAACTATAAAAATGCATGTAATATAATATGATATAGAATATATAGCTATATATCATTTAGGTAACTGTTGCTTTAATATTTACAAATATGTGTCTTAAGTGTTATGTACGCTTTTCATATTACAAATAAATACTAATTAATACTTGTTCAAAAATTGCTGTTCATTTTATGTTCAGATTCCGAATTGATTTTTTCCCAGTGTGGCGAATTGAAATCTTAGCAGGAACACTGAGACGTATCTTTAAAACAAGTATATAAATCTCGTGATTATCCAAATTCATAATCAAATTCAGGCTGGCTGTGAACGAGTATTACATAGTCGGATATATCCGACTGCGTAGTTTTAAAAAATTCTCTTTTTTCAAATCAGTCAACAACAAAAATAACTCAAGCGTAAAATAAATGAAAATAAATATGTGATCATTGGATCGCAATTAAAGACCTGTTTTGCATCGCCCATTTCGCCGGGTCGCTGTTGTTTTTGCTATCGAAATCAGAAAAAGGATATATTTAAATGCCCGATTGTAATTAATAAGTATACCCATATATATTACATGCATTGAGTGAGGGGCAGATATAAATTTTAACAACTGTAAAATCATTTTAATAGCATTTTCATGTTTCTTGACGAGAAGCTCATTAATATCCATGAGTCGAATTGATATGTAGCAACTTTTTTATTACTTGTAAAATAAGAAGAAAATTATATGCAAATATCGAAATACAAAGATTAATTGAAAATAAAGGCAAACAATGTGACAAATGTTATATGGAGATGTTTGGCTATTTATTTTGATTTATTAATTAAATTATTTTTCGATATTTTTATTATGCCTCAAAATCATGCAGCAACCTAAACTTCTTTAGTTCTAATTTACTTTTGGTAAAATGAAAATATTTTCGCAGAATGTTCTTAAATAAGTAGAATTTATAATTGATTAAAACAAATATTCATGAAGTGCATATCTTGCTCTAAAAGGAATCGTGAAAAATTAATGAATGTATATATAATATTTTTTATAT